GGGAGGCTGAGATCCAGGAAACGTGGAGAAGGGGAGGCAGCCCTTAATTCCACCTCTCCCACTCGGGCGTGCTGATGCTCGGGGAGCCGCATCCTCCCGAGGGGCGGGCAACCCTTAGGGCTTCTCGTCGGCGCAGCACCGCTCCCCGAGCACCTCGCAGGCTCAGGTGCACCCACGGGGCCGCTCGTTTTCCTTCCCGGGGCCTCGCAGCGCAGCGCAGAGGCGGACGAAGGGTTAAGAGCGGGGAACGGGGGCGGCGCGGGGGGGGGGGGGGGGCGGGCGGGGGGGGGGGCGGAGAGGAACGGAAAGGATCGGATCGGATCGGAACGGAACGTAGCGCGGTGCGCGGCGGCGGCGGAGGGAGCGCGGGGCTCGGCAGCGGGCGGATGCCGGGGAGGAGGGCGGAGGGCAGCCGGCCCCCTCGCCCCCCCGCCGCCGCTGTCGGGCAGAGCTGAGCCGCGAAGCTGAGCTGCGGGAGGCGGAGGAGCGGCGGGCGTTCGGCTGCGGGTTTTCAGGCTGGCGGGGACTGCGTGGATTACCCCGCCGTGAGCCGGGGAGACCCGAGGAGGACGCGGGCGGCGGCGGCGGCGACGGAGCGGTGCGGAGCGGTGAGTGAGGGGTTGTGCTGCCGGAGGTGCGGCTGTCCCCGGGGTGCGGGGCCCCACGGAGCATCACCGGCTTGGGGCTGGGGTTCGGCCCCGGGTGACCGCAGCCCTTTTCCCGGCCCCGGGGCCGCGCAGCGCGGGTGGCACCGAGGCGGGCGGAGCTCGGCGGCCCTCCGGGAGCTGCCGGCGGCTGGCGTTGCGCTGCGAGCGGCGTCGCGGGGTGCTTCCATCGGCGGCTGAGGAAGGGATGGAGAAATCCCTCGAGCTGCCTGATTCCTGGTCACCTTCCCTTCTTCCCTTCCCGTTCTGTTGGGTTTGTGTGTAAGCGCCGTAGAGACGGCTGGTTCTTCTGGAATTTTGTTGTCATTTGTTACCGCTCGGTCGTGGGTTGGAGCGCTCGGTGCATCGGAACCAACTGCTGTCCATGAAAGTTCCCATCGGCGTGGATGGGCTCCTCAAAGCATCCCCCGAATCTCAGAGGAAAAAAAATAATAACCAGACCCTTCTAAAACTTCCCTAAATCCCTGCAAGACCTTCATTGAGAGGCACGGGGGGATGGCAGGGGATGCACTGCTGCTCCTTTTGGGAAATCTCAGCCTGAGTGATGCCCACAGCCCCCCACATCGCTGTGCCCCTGACCCCCCTCCCCCCCGTCACCCCTGCCTGGGCCTTGTGGCTTTATTTCCATTCAAGCCGATGCTTCTCATTCCTGGAGGTGAAGTGAATGATACTCAATTAATCCGTGTTCTGAGGGGTATCAGAAAGTCAATAGGTTAATATAAAGTGAGGTGAATAGTAAGTGGCGGAGGGGAAAAAATAAACCTCAGCCCTGTCCATCTGTGACCTGCAGTTCAAGGGACGGGCTGGGAGGTGAGGGAATGAAGTTCACGGAGTGCCTCGATGCACTGAGTGATGCTGGCAGGGTTTCCTCGCCGTGTGCTGAGCACTCAGTGCTGCTGTGGTGGTTTGGTGCCATCCAACAGATCCCGGTTGGCTGCAGGGAGCTGCGCTGGGCTGCCCTTGGCTGGGTGGCTTCACTGATAACGATGCCTCTGGAAGTTAAATCAGATGACCTACTTAGAGCAGAGATGGATCCCTCAGAAGAAATCTGTGCCATCCCCAGAACAGATGTTTGGCTTTTTTTTTTTCCTTTTCCCTTTAACACCGAGGTGTTAGATCCTTTAAAAAAAGTGATTTTTTGCTTTATTGCTGTCCTTTTGCCATTTGTTGTCGCTTTGAGGATCCTCAAAGCGTAAATGTGATATTGGGGCAGTTCAGGGAAACAGATAAAACAGCTTTAAATTGGGAAACTTGGTGCAGGCGATGAGTAATGCTCACATATACCTGTTGGGAAATGGCTCAAAGAGAGAACCTGCCATCCTTGGCTCCTCTAACCATCCCCACTGCAAGAAGATAAAGTAACACCATTTACTTTTCATTGTCTTGATAGCGCTATTTGATGTAATTAATTGTGGGACTGGCTTGTAACAAGTTTCTGCAGTAGGAGCAGGTAACAGATGCTACATCAGATCTGCACACAACCCACCCCTGTGATAAAAACAGCTTTTCCTGGTGCTCTTATCACTCTGTCTCGCTCTTTGCGTTAACCCTGAGGTTTCCTCTGCCTCTCTTAACTTCGGTGAGATGCAGGAGGGAAAACAGACCCGGGTTGCATGGGGAAGCCTGGGAGAGAGGTGGCTGCTGCTGCCCTGTGCTCTTTAACTCTCTGCAGCAAATTGCATTAGTATGTGACAAATTGGCTTGCAAAGCAGCTAAATGGGAATGACATTTGGAGTAGTTTGCAGTGCAGACCCTGTGGTGTCTCGAGGAAGGATGGGATGTGTGATATCTTCTCCAGTTAACCACGGCTCTGAGGCTTTACTTCAGGAACTCCTGTTGCAGCCAAATGTGGGAGGTTGGAGCGTGTCTTGGGATAATTGCCCAAAAGCTATGTGGCAAACGTGGGTGCGTGCTGTCTCATGCAGTAGGCAGCTTGTGTGAGGAGCTGAGCTGGGAAAAGCAAAAGCTGGCACCCAGAAACTGCAGGGCTACGGGGGAGAGGGCTGCAGGAGGAGAGCTGCTCCCGTTTGGTGATGTTTCCCTGCAGGGCTGTTTGTGCCTCTGGAGCACCTGAGTTTGAGGGAGGCTGTGAGCAGCTGTGGAGGAGCAGGCTGAGCTGCTCTGCATAACAGCACCCCGCTGCTGCCCCACACCTCCACGCTGCCTGATGCTGGCAGGGAGCAAGCCATCCCAATGGGCCCTTCTGCAGCTCGAACAAGAGATGTGTGAGGCTCTCCCTGCCCGCAGCTGGGGCTGTCACAGCTGACAGAAGTGTCTCTGCTGGGCTCTGGGGGTGTGAGCTGCCCAAACCTGTGGCAATGTGCTCCTGAGCCCTTGCCCATCTCCAGGCGCTGCTGATTATTCAGCTAATCTTTATTTCATGCGCCTGTTACAAGAAACGGGGGAGAAAGTGGAAGGCGGTGACACATTTAAAATACACGAGAAAAACTCTGGCAGGAAAATAATTGTTCTTATTCCAGAGGGATGAAATATTGATGGGCCGAAGTTGTGGCAGGATTCTCACCCCGCAACTCTTTTCTCCCAGTGCAGCACCCAAGAGGGGCTGGCTGTGCTGTGTGCCCACTCCCTGTTAACTCGGGGTAACCCACGGGCAGCCCATCACCATCCCATGAACATCCCTTTGGGGCCCACATTGTGCAGGATCTCCTGGGGCATTCAGCCATTAATTCATTAGATCTGAGGATTCCCCCCGCCCCCTTTCTCCCCCTTCTCTTTTATTTTTTTTTTCCCCCTCTCCCCTGCAATTCAGACAGTGATGAATGGACAGAAATCCCTCAAGGGAAACATTTTTTTTCTCTTAGTTACAAAGATTTCATGGCTAATTAGAGTAAATGTGGGTTTTTAGAGTGTTAATCTCTTAACCAGCTTGGCTGGGGAGGGGGGAGGGGGGGCTGCCACCACTCCAAAAGGAGAAGGCCGGGCAGGGAGCAGCGTGCTGCCGTGTTCCTGTGGGGCTGTGCGCCCACCACCCTCTGCATGTGAGCATTCGTCACCGGGGGGAGCACCCGGTGTGCGATCTCACAGCGTGGAGCCTCGGGGAGGGAAACGGGGAGCGGCTGCCGGGTGCGCACCGTTTCGTCCTCGACGGCGGAGGGGCTGCGGACCGAAGTACCGCCTCGACCCGAAGTACCGCCTCGACCCGAAGTACCGCCTCGACCCGAAGTACCGCCTCGACCCGCTAGAGGGGACCCTCCGGAGGATGCTCTATGCGAGGATCAGAGCGGGGACGCGCAGTCGGGACGCAGCTGCGCTCCGCCGTGGCGGCCGCACCGCCGGGGTTGCCGGTCCGGTGCTCCAGGAAGAATCTCTGCATGGAATGAGGAATTGGGGTAGATTTCTTCTTAGAAAAAGTGGAGATGCGTTGCAGTAGGTCGCCCAGGGAGGTGGTGGAGACGCCGTCTCTGGAGGTGTTTAGGAGCTGTGGTGATGTGGCACTGAGGGATGTGGTTTGGTGAGGTGACCCTCCTGCTGTCTGACAGATTCCATCTCCTGTTTCTGGCCGAGATTTCTGGTTCTGCTTGGGTGAAGTTGTACTGGGAGGTGCTGATAGATGTATCGTATTCTGAAAGTTTAATCCTGCTTTGCCTGGGCTAAAATTGCATTCAGAGCGGGAGATAAAAGGCATCAGTCGCATTATAAAAGAAAAGCTCAGATTATCTGAGAGGGTGGTGTGACAGCATGGGCAGCCCCACAAACTGGGCCCTGTGCTGTGCCCACAGCAGCTGCTGCTCCCAGCCCACCAGGCCCTGTATGCAGTTGCACTGACAGCTCCAGGTGTGACTGTGCTCAGTGCCTTTCCTTTGCATGGCAGAGGAGCAGTGCTTCCAAGGAGCAGGGCTCTGATGGAGGCATTTAGTCACTCAGTCCATGCATTTCTATTGTAGTTCCCTGCATTGTGTGCCTGATCTCCTGTCCTTAAAATCCCTGTTGGTGTGATGGGCTCCTGGATGGCCAGGGCTGTTATAAAGCATGGGGCACATGGAGAGGGTCTCAGCCTTCTAAGACAGGGAGGGTTGAACAACCCCAAGCACATTTTGGGGGCCCAGTGCTCTGCTGCGGGCTCCTCTCCAGAACCACAGTGCTCATTGCTACAGCAGCTTCCCAGGTGGGACTGTTCCTTGCAGCCCTTTTCCTGCTCTGGCGCAACTTCCCCACTCCATAAAAGTGAAAGGTGACGTCTGAATAAATATTGCCCTGACCTTTCACCTCCCGCTGCTGCTTTCCCTGTGCTCAGCCACGGAGCCGCGGCTGTGCGAGGGCTCAGCACTGGGGCAGAGCTGGCAGGGAGGGCAGCCCCCCATCCAACTCCCTTCCCACCCCCTGGAGTGAGGTGAGTGGGGCTGGGGCTGTGGGAGGGTGGCTTTGTGGGGTTGTTGTGCTGGGCACAGGACAGCTGCAAAACCTCAAATTGGAAAGCACTACACAGAGCCAGTGTGGCATAGAAGCTGGGATGGCACCTGGCAGTGATCAGGGGTGGGTGCTCCCATGGTCTGCACCAGCCATAGAGAAGCCCTTAGGGTTCACAGACAAGGTTTCCTCCATTGGGAGAGGGAATTTGTTAGCTCCTCATTATCTCCCAATGAAGCAGTGGGTTGCAGTCCATGGAGAGGCTGTTCCCTGCACCTATCAGGAAGGTGAAAGGAAACAGCGTATTTTGCTTTCAGCTCCCGGCTGGCTGCAGACAGCATTAGAAAAACAGAAGCTTTAACTCACACGAGGGTGGGCTGTGAGCACCCTGTGCTGCATCTCAGGGCACTGAATGGGGAAAACAGGAACCCCCCCGGCTCCATGCGGGCTGGGCAGGAAGGCAGCGGGATGTGGCAGCCCTGAGTCAGCACGGCAGCACCTCATGCTTCCAGCCAGGAGCTGGGAACAGATTCACTGTCTGGGAACATTTACCAGGAGCTTCCTCTGTAGTGTGTCCTCAATAAGAGAGCACTCAGAAATCCCTTGGATAGGTTGGGAGGGGGGTTGTGGGTCAGCATCGCTGAGTCCTGCGGAACCGGCACTCAACAGGGGGAGAGCAGAAACTTGGCAGTGTGCACGGGTTGTTCAGTGCTTTGCTCTATTCATCTTGAAATAAGCTTCCACAAAGTGCATTTTGAGGTTTCAGCCTCGAGTGTCAGCTCCAGATTCATTGTAATACGGCAGGCTTCGTGTTCTGTTTGCTTCTTGCTTGCTGCGCTCTCAGGCTTTGCCTTGCCTGTACCCTGGTAATCTGGGGATGCTATGCTGGGGCTCTGCAGCTCTGGAACTGGCTGACACTGAGCAGGTGACACTGTGGGGCTGTGTGCATTGGTGGCAGCATTAAAACTTGCCCTTTGTGCTGTTGAAAAGGGTGATTTCCCACTCTGGGATGTGACAGACCACAGCACTCTGGTGTTTGCCTAGGTGGCCGGAGAGCTCACGTGCAGGCAGCTCATGTTAAGGGCTTTGTTCCCCGTGGCTGCACAGATTTATTGGTGTCAGAGCAGGAAAATGGTCCGTTGGCTGCCGAACAGGGATGTTACAGTTCAACTCCATAAAACATGCCGGCTGTCTGCTTTGCTCATTCATTCGCCAACCACCCAAAAAGTCACAGCAACAGGAGGAGAGGATGAAACTCTGCCCCCGTGGCCGTGTTTCCTGCCTTCGCTGCTTTATGCCACAGCCTGTAATGTTAGTTAAAGAAAACAACAAAAAACGGTGTATTTCCTTTTGATTTTTAATGGAAGTGGGGCAGGGAAGGAAAGGAGCGTGGCTGTAGGTTTCCTCGCAGGCTGAGCTGTTGTGTCCTGTCTGTTTGGCTGAGCTGGGGCAGCGGTTTGCAGGCTGCCCCTCTCCAGGCTGAAGTTCTGTCTGCAGTTAGCGAGGAGTTAATTGCAGCCATGCTGAGCCCTCGCAGTGCTATGCTGGCCCTGCACGGGGGATCCCACAGAGCAGAGCTGTGTTTGGTCACAGCAGGTTCAGACAGTCCCTAGGATCTCATAGCAACCACGGGGCACGGGGAAGCACTTGGGCGTGCTGGAGGAGAGGGGCTGAGCCCCGTGCTTGTTGCTGGTGCATAATGCAGTGCTGAGCAAGTGCTGGCATAACTTGGCTTTTCAAGGCATAAATTGTGTGACAGGGGCAAAGCTGTTCCATCAGCTCCACCAAATAAATGCTCTGACTTGGAGGCGGCCGCGGCTTGTAGGGCTGAGCTGGAAGTGCTAGAACAAACTGAGAGAGAGAAAAACAAAAGCTGAGGCTCTTTCAAGGACTTCCAAGGGAGTTGTATAACTTGTCTGGAAAAACAAACCTTGCCCGGGTGCTGGGATGGGGGGAGAAGTGGTGGACGAGGCTGCTGTGCAGCTGGAGTCCTTCAGTGCTGAGCCCAGATCCAGCAGTGTGGCTTTAACTGTTCCCATCCCTGCAGACACAGAGGAAGTGAGCGTGTGTCAGTCCCAGCCCTGATACGGGCTCTGTTTTGGCAGTCTGCACCAAGAAACCCAAATGTGTGGCCTGTCGGGTTGGTCAGCAGAGATGTTTGGTACCTGAGGCACTGCTGAGGCGTCGCACCTTCATCCCAGGTGCAAATTTTAACATGAGGAAAAGCAAAACACTGACCCATTTGTTTGTCCCTAACGATTCCTTTTGCATCCTCTCCAAATTTTCATTACAAACACCACTCTTTGCCAGATTATCTGTGCGAGCCATCTTGTTTCTGAAGAGGATATAATATTAATTTCTGTGTCACTTTGTTCTTCTGCCGTGTTTGGGTGCATTTGATTAACAGCACTATACATCTTTCCATGAGTCAATTGGGTTTTGCTTCTGCTCTTAGAAATGGGGATGGAAGCAGAACAGATTGCTGCTGCAGAGTGCACCAGTGTTCCTCAGAGCTGCATGGAAACTGCTTCAGGTACAGAGTTCTTTTGACAAGGCATCTCATCCCCGTTGTGTCAGTGGAAGTTGCAGCTTGTAGGCCCTATAGAGCTGAAATCATGGAATCATAGATTGGCCTGGGTTGAAAAGGGCCACAATGACCATCTCATTTCAACCCCTTGCTGTGTGCAGGTCACCAGCCAGCAGCCCAGGCTGCCCAGAGCCACATCCAGCCTGGCCTTGAATGCCTGCAGGGATGGGGCATCCACAGCCTCCTTGGGCAACCTGTTCCAGCGCCTCACCACCCTCTGAGAAATCACTGATTTATGCCATGGTTTTGCCCTCGGTGATCCTGATGAAGTGTTTGACAGGGTCTGGAAGGTCTATCTGTGATTGTGAAGCAGATACATATGAACAGAACCAACTAAAAATGTTCCTGCAGCCCGTGCTGGTGCTGCTTTGCTCCTGCAGCCTTCCTGCATTCCCACATCCACTGCAGCTTCTCCCCCTCCTGTGTGTGGGATGGAGGCAGCTCCCAGGCAGTGCTTTGGGATGGGGCTGTGGGTGACAGCTGAACTCAGGGCTGTGCCAGGAGCTCTCACTGCATTCCTGTGAAATATGGCCTGAAAAGTCCCTGAAGGATTTATTGTTTTCCGGGCCTGGCTGGATGTGGTCTGATAGGTTGGATTTGGGAAGGAAATGACTCAGTTGCTCTGCAGACAAGTGCAGCTTTGAAATGCAAGAGGTGGGAGACAGCTGAGAGCCTCCAAATGGTGGGGAGCTGGGTGCTATGGGTCTGACCCAGCCCTGCTGGCAAGTGCAGGGTGTGCAGGACAGCTCTGCCTTCAGACCATGGTGTGCAGCCCCTGTGCTGTGACTGCTGGTCAGTGTCACACACAGACTTCAGCAGATGCTTTCTCCATCCCTACTGTCAGGCTGCTTGGAGAGGCAGAAGTTTATAAATGACAGAAAGATCCTTAGTGAAGAAACAAGAGTTAGCGTTGCAAATAAAGAAAACAAGACAGCTTGTTTCATCTAAACAGAAGGGTTATTAAACAGGCTTGAATTAATCAGCGATCTGCCAGAGCGCTGAAATTGAAAAGCAGGGCAGAATAGAGCAGGAGGAACTGCAATCCTGGGTGACACTCGAGTGCAGAGGGGGAGCTGATGTCCAGCGATGGTGGGACAGGGTTGAGCTGCTGCTGGGTTTTTTAAGGCATCTTAAAGCACTGTCAAAACCGCATGGAGCACCCAGAGGTGCATGCAGGAGGGACAAAGAGGGGCTGCACAAGGTGAGCTCTGTTCCCTAACGGTGCTGATGGAGCAGCTGATTGCTGCTCATGTCAGGTGCTCACATTGAGGCACTCTGAGAGGGATGTGATGGTCCCTGGAGGGTTCTCCAGTGCTGATGGCTCCTTCCAGCTCCACCTGCCTGCTGCAGGTTGCTAACATCGGGGCTGTCCATAGTTCCAAATCCTCAAAACATCACAACAGTGTCTGGATGACAATTCCCTGCAGTTCAATGGTGAATTCCAGCTCTAGGATGCTGGTTCTTACTGCTGGCTGCAGGGAGGTGCAGCACTGAGCCCCCCCATGACTTCAATTGCACTGTGCCCAAATGGCTCTGCCCAGTTTGGGACCATCTGATGGAGCCCTGCTGGTGCAATAGGACAACAGGGAAGGTGCAGCCACGGCCAGTGCCCTGGGCAGGGCTGCTTAGGTCTGATTTGCTGTTTATTGCTCACAACCTGAAAATGTGATTCCATTCTGAAGTGGCACTGAGCATCAACCACCCTCTGGTGGGGACGTGGCTGATGCGTGCAGGCAGTGCCATGCTCACAGTCATGGCAGTGCTGCAGTCTGAGTGAAATCCATAGCTGTGCAACTGGGGATTCAGCACCGAAGAGCCTCCTTTTGACAAATGCCCCATTTCCTGGTTTACTTAGGTAACAGCACCGTGGCTACTGTGTAAATACATCTGGCTGCCTGGGGGGAGTGTGGGGATAACAAACGCTGCCTTGGCACAGCCAGAGGAGTTCTGTTGCAGGATTTCTGTTTAATGGAGTGACTGGGGACCCATTAAATGCGAAGCTGGGGCTCTCCATTTGCCTGTGGGGCACTTGGAAGGAGGCCAGCAGATGCTGCTGCCTGCTTTCCTCCTGCAGCTCGGTGACCGCACTGCGATCTCCCCTCGTGTTCCCATGGAACAAACCACAGCCAGAGGTCACCTGGGGGACCAGTGGGCACTGACACCTTCTGTATCGCTTCGGGCAAAACGTTTAAGCATTTGATCTGCTTGCACTTGAGGTCACCCTCCATTAAATTCTGTTTTCTTTGGGAATAAAGTCCCTGAATAATCAAACAGAGTTTGAACTGGAAAGAGCTCTGAGATCTCCAACTCCAACCCCAACCCCATGGTGCCCACTGGCCATGTCCTCATGTGCCTGCAGGGTGACCCCACAACTCCCAGGGCAGTCTGTGTCAATGCATCACCGCTCTTTCAGGGAATCATTTTTTCCTAATATCCAACCTGACCATCTCCTGGCACAACTTAAAGCCATTCCTTCTCATCCTGGAGGCAAGCAAGGTCTTACCCTGTGGTTGGAGATAGCTGTGCCCGTGTTTGCTTGTCACTGTTGTCAGGGGAGAGCGGCTCTGCTCTGCTGAACAATCTCTGCTCAGTTCATGAACACAGACACAGATAGGGGGATCGAAGCTACTAACACAGCTCCTTACACACACTTTACTACAGTGGTTTGTGCTTGGTGACTCCCTTTTGATAGCAGAGCATTTCCTTTGATTGAACACGAGTGCCTCTTGTGCGGGAGCACCATTCCCAGCCTGAGAGGGAAGCAGAATGCTCAGAGCACCGCGTTTGGGGCCAGGCAGTGAGGCTGGGAGAAGCCAGGGATGCTGCCAGCTCAGCTCCGTCTTACTCTGCTTCTCCTCACCCCAGCAGTGCTAGGATGCTCACTCAGAAGTGAGGTGGGGGGGGGGGGGAAGAGGTGGCTCATCCGGTATGCGCTGTGTAAACAAGATCCCACGTCTGCACAATATGACCGAATTGGGTGCATAATTCATGCAATCGTGTTTGTTATCAGGGAAATGCCTTTTCGTGGCTGAGCTTTGCTCTTCCCCTCCTCTTCCTTGTCCAGGGGCTGGAGGAAGCAATAAGCACAATGCTGTGCTTTGCCCTCTTAACTCTTTCCCTGCACCTACAGGGCGGCTGTGAGCATTGGGGCTGCTGCCCAGCATTGCATGTTGTGCTGGAGGAGCAGCTCAGTGTCTTTCAGCCCTGTTGTTTTGCTGTCTCATAGCAAATATAGGGGACGTACAGGGGACACCGTGGATAGCAGGGCTGTCCCTCCTATCCCAGCCATTCCGGAGCTGAGCTGTCTGCTGATGCACAGCCTGCTTTTAGTGTTGGTGGGGTCAGAACCTTTTATGAGCAAACAAAAGGCACTAGGAGCTCTCGTCCCTGCTTTGTGTTAGGAAAATGTAATTACTTCACATCAAACTGTTCAGTCATTGCAGATGGTGTCAAGCAAACAAATGATTGAGTGCTGCCTGGGCTCAAAGTGCACGGGGCTGCTGCACCAAATGTCCTGAATATTGGGTCTTCACAGGACATAAATCACTGCAACAGCTTCAATGGTTGGAAACGTTTCCCAGGAACATTCCTGGTCGGCTCCAGGAGGGCTGAGAGCAGACGTGTGTGCTCTCACTTGGCACAAAGTGGGCAAACTCCACTTCTTTCTCTCTTTTTTTCTCTGGAAGGAGGAGATAGATGGAGCCTATGTGAAGAGATAGGGGCAGCTGGTGCCCCAACAGCTAGCAGCATCGTGCAGGAGGGCAGCTGCTGCACTCGTAGCACCAAAATCGTTCCTTTGAGCCCTCATTTTCCGTAAGAGAATCTCTCTTTTTTTCTTTTTTCGTATGTGCTTTAATTTCCCCCTTTTTTTTTTTTTCTTTTTCATGTGCATAAAATGCCACAAATGACAAAGCGTGGGGCTGCAGTTGAGTGACAGCTGCAATAAGCGGAGCCCTGCTGCACTGAGATGGAATGAGCCGGGTTCCTTCCCCCCTCAATGGGAGCCGTGGCCATTTGAATAATAATATTATGGCCTCCATTAGGATGACAGTGGGGGAAAAAAATCAGCTCAGACCTGTGATTATTCCTTCAATCTAATAATTATTTAAATACCAGATAACTCCTTTCAGCCTAATTGAGGCCTTTCAGCTGCTCGGGTTTATGTTGTAGCCCTGAATTTACTCTCTCTTTCATTTATTTATTTATTTATTTACCTTGTGTTACCAATAGCTTCAGATTGCTTTTAAAACCATGTTTTAAACTCACTTCCAAGAAAAAAAAACAAAACAAGCTCAGCAGAAAAGCAGTTGTGTTGTGCACTGAGCTCTGCAGTGGGATCTCCTGGTTCTGGGCAGCATTCCCTTTGCTGAGCTCCCCGTGCATCCCAGAACCCCATAACCTAGAACCCACTGCCCTGAGCATCACAGCACTGCCTTCTCTGAGCTGGCAGAGAGGAGCTGCTGCCCGCCAGAGGTGGAAATGAAGCTGGAAAACAGAAGCAGCAGACGGTGAAACGTATCCCTGAGCAGAATGAGAAACCCATTATCGTGCTCCTGCGCTGTCTTGTCAGTGACACGGAGATGTGCAGCCCAGGGACAGAGCTCCTTTGTCACCTCTCACAACACCCGTCTCCAGCTCCAGGCGTTAACAAGCCTAAAGAGTGGCTGCGTGCTGACACCCGCTTATGAGCGCGGTGTAGGTTTCCAGCAGCATGAATTATTTTAAATACCAAAACTGAGATCAGCATCAATCAAAGCGGGGGCTCTGACAGCTGCACGGGGCCAGGAGGAGCCCTTGTCCTGTAGGATTGGTGCCAGGAGGTGCCAGCACGGACACGGTGCTGTCTGCCTGGCCTGCGTGTGATGGAGGAAAATGGCTCATCATCTTCCTCATCCCAGGGCGGTATGAGCCCATGGTGGTATGGGATAGGGGAGAACATCTGCCAATGGGACTGACTGGGATGGTTCCCATGGTTGTCCAACCTGGGACCGTGAAAGAAGTGCAGCTTCTTGGAATTAAAGAAAACTTTGTGATAGTTTTCTAAGCGCAATTTGTTGGACGCATCTGTGGTGATGAGCAGGGCTGAGGTGAAGTGCAAGATGGGGTCAGCAGCAGGTCTGGAGGTTTGAGCAGGGTGGCACACCAGGCACACCCATGGTGGCACTGAGGTCCTGCACCCCGTGCAGCAATGCTGGCATTGGTGCCACCTACATGGGCACTGCTGGTTTGGGGCAGAGGTAATGGGGGCTTTGGGGTGGGTGCTTGGTGCACTTTTACCTGCATGAGGCTTCTTCCTCAGGCTCACACATTAAATCATGCAGGGCCTAGAGGTAGAAAACACCTCTTATTTCCTCTGTCGCTTCCAACAACATTCCCTACAGGAGGCATCCTTTTAGCCAAGCCTGCAGATTGATGGCTGTATGGGAACTGCAGGCTTTGTCTTGGCTGGGAGCTGATTATCCCCTCCCGTGGCAGAGTGGTGCCCATTATAACAACCAAACATAGAACGCATTAACACGCAGGGGCTGAACCAAGTGGCACAACCTCAAACCTGAACAGTTTGCCAATAAGTTAGGAGACCTGCTTAATTCTTGTTGGGCTTAAGGATGTCCTCGCTTTATCTCAAGGACTGTGTAATTAGAAAGTGTAATTTGAATGGTATCTGCAGGCACACCGGGTCTAATCCTTTGCTCTGTGCGTTTTTTCTCTTCCCCAGAACCATGTGAGGGACGTTACTGGGGCACAGGTCGGCCGTTCCCAGGATGGATCAGAGGAGGACCTGCCCTTGGGCACTGCGCTCCGATGGCGATGGCAGGTCAGCATCTCTGCTCTGCCTCCTCCTGGCGTCGCTTTCCTGGAGTGCATCCAGCAGCACCTCATTCAGCACTTTCCGTTCTGAGCACCGGGATTGGACTTTCAACCACCTGACCGTCCACCAGAGCACCGGGGCCGTTTACGTCGGAGCCATCAATAGGGTTTACAAGCTTTCGGGTAACTTGACCATTTTAGTAGCTCACAAAACCGGTCCCGAGGAGGACAACAAATCCTGCTACCCTCCCCTCATCGTGCAGCCCTGCAGTGAGGTGCTGACCCTCACCAACAACGTCAACAAGCTGCTGATCATTGACTACTCCGAGAACCGGCTGCTGGCCTGTGGCAGCCTGTACCAAGGAGTGTGCAAGCTGCTGCGCCTGGACGACCTGTTCATCCTGGTGGAGCCCTCGCACAAGAAGGAGCATTACCTGTCCAGTGTCAACAAGACAGGCACCATGTATGGCGTCATCGTGCGCTCCGAGGGCGAGGATGGGAAGCTCTTCATTGGGACAGCGGTGGATGGGAAGCAGGATTATTTCCCCACGCTCTCCAGCCGGAAGCTTCCCCGCGATCCAGAGTCGTCGGCGATGTTGGATTATGAGCTCCACAGTGACTTTGTCTCGTCCCTCATCAAAATCCCCTCGGACACCTTGGCCCTCATTTCGCACTTTGATATCTTCTACATCTACGGCTTTGCCAGTGGCAATTTCGTCTATTTTTTGACTGTCCAACCAGAGACCCCGGAGGGCATCTCCAACTCTGCCAGTGACCTCTTCTACACATCCCGCATCGTCCGGCTCTGCAAAGATGACCCCAAATTCCACTCCTACGTCTCTCTGCCCTTCGGCTGCGTCAGGGGGGACACGGAGTACCGCCTGCTGCAGGCAGCCTACCTGTCGAAGCCAGGGGATGTGCTGGCCAAATCCCTCAATATCACAGCCCAGGAGGATGTCCTCTTTGCCATTTTCTCCAAGGGACAGAAGCAGTACCATCAGCCGCCGGATGACTCCGCGCTCTGTGTTTTCCCAATTCGTGCTGTCAATGCCCAGATCAAGGACCGGCTGCAGTCTTGCTACCAGGGGGAGGGCAACCTGGAGCTCAACTGGCTGCTGGGGAAGGATGTCCAGTGCACCAAAGCGGTGAGGATGCAGGCAGTTGGCTGTCATAGCCTTTGGTTTTAATGCGTGGCCCTATGGTGCAGAATAGGATCAATCTATTGGGAGTTATTGGGAATAGGTGAATGGTTGGACTGGATGATCTTTTAGGTCTTTTCCAGCCTTGGTGATTCTATGATTCTATGATTCTATGAATCTTTGCCTCAGTTTCCCTAAATAGGGAATGGATGTAGCAATCTTTTTCCTCCTATTGTCCTTTTCTTCCCTGTTGTTATCAGACAGTCAATGATGGCAGTGAAAGGAGGGACTGCACTGAGGCTGGTGGATAAGGATGAAGGTGTGCTCTCTGTTGGCAGTGTTTGCTGTTCCCAACCTCAGGCTCTCACCTTTCCCGCAGCAAGAGGCTGATATCAGCAAACTAACGAGATAAATACAAATGACAGTTGAATCTTTCGTGGTTTTTATTCAGATGATTTCTCTAATCTTGATTCACATGCAGATTGTTCTAGGGCTGACTTGAGAATCCCTGGGGCCTTCTTTTGCCAAGCATATTAAGTTTGGCTGCTGAGAGGAGATGAACGTGGGTTAAATGAAATGAAAAAAGGAAAGCGAGAACACTTGCTTGCACATGGGAGAGCCATCCCTTCACAGTTGTGTCTAAGTGTTTGGCAATTCCTGAATGTCCCTTATGGAAAATTAGCAAGAGGACTGCAGTCAGCGTGATGGTGCAGCTCCATGGCACCATTCTGCTGCATGGGAGAGACCACCATAAAATGCAGGGTCCGCACCTGGCTCAGCCCCTGCTGACCTCACATCCACGCAGATTCCATGTCCCCACCAGCCCCACATCCCCACTCTCCTCAGCTCTCCTGTGCAGGAACCCCAAGGTTGCCCCCTGCTTTGTGCTTCACTCACGAGAATCTCTTAAAATCTCCTCTTTCCAGCCTGTTCCAATCGATGACAATTTCTGTGGGCTCGACATCAACCAGCCCCTGGGTGGCTCAGTGCCAGTGGATGGTGTGACACTCTTCACCTCCAGCCGGGACCGGATGACTTCTGTTGCTTCATACATCTACAATGGCTACAGCGTGGTGTTCGTGGGGACTAAAAATGGCAAAGTGAAGAAGGTAAGATAATTTCTGTGGCTTTGGAGAGGCGGGATCCGTTTCTCATCAGTGTTAGAGCACCTTGTGGTTTTGTTTGGTTTTGCATTTCATCATTCAGTGAACCGTGGTGTGTCTGTGGGGCTGCTGCAGAAACAGTTGGAGCAATAATGGGCTCATGTGGTTAGAGGCAAAAGAGTTGAAGTGACCATCAGCGAACCACGGTCAGAGGTCTCAGAGATATTCTTTTATTTGTGAAAGTTTAATGGGAATCTTGCAGCAGGTTTGACTTGTTTCACCATAATCCTTCTGTGGTTGGTGTGGTAGACTGAGCTTAAGAGGCTTTTGGGTTCGGGTTGCAGAATGTTGAGTCAGGGAGTGGGTTAACTTGGCTGCTTTTGGAAACCAAGCCTCAGGGCAAAGCCTTCCTACTTCTCCTTGTCTCCCCAAGACAGCTGGATGATGGATCCCTGGAAGATAACATTCCTCACCCTTTGCATCACAAAAGCTGGGGCTCTTGCCTAGGGCTAAGAAAATCTCCATGTTGTTCTCCTCTCCCAGCAGCAGGAGCTGGGGGCTGCTGGGTGGGCTCTAAGATTCTGGAGTCCAACCACCAGCCTGCTGAGTGTGAGATCCTTCAAATGAACCTAAGATGTCAATGACATCATTTGGTGATCCTGCTAAATGCAGTCCCTGCTTCTCTGAGCCAGGGAAAGGGTTAACAAATGTAATCAACAGCAGGTTGTTAATTTTTTGTGTCCTTAAACAGCAGGGAATTTCTTCCTCATCTATCCAGGAAGATACAAGGACAGGCAGATACTACACTTGAATGTCTGCATCATTTTAATTACATCAGTTCATTAATATTCATTCAGCACTTTACAAGTGCTGAGCAGCAGTAAATTAGGAGTCTCCCTGGTGTCTCTCAGTGCAGTGAGGAAGTCTGGAGTGTGGGAGCATGAGCAGAGCCCCTCTTTCCCTGCCCAACCTGGTGCCATGTGGAACACAGGGCTCATCCTGGTGTGGGTGGAGAAAGAATCTTCATCACATCTCAAATAATGCATCTGATGCTGTGATTCCAGCAAGTCTTGTTGGCCATTGGGTGGTTTCTGGTTGTTGGGTGTTTGCTGAGCATTGTTGAGTGGTTGCTTGCCATGGCTGGGTGTTTGCCAACCATTGTTGGGGGGGTTGCTGGCCACTGTTGGGTGGTCGTTGGCCATTTTGGGGTGATTGTTGGCCATTTTGGGGTGATTGTTGGCCATTTTGGGGTGGTTGTTGGCTATTGCTGGGTGGTTGTTGTCCATTACTGTCCATTTGGTGTTTTGGGCAGCAGGGCAGTTGCCTCATGTAGAGGGAATTAAAGCGACCAGCCTGTGCCTGCACACCAAGCATTTACTTTAGCGTGGCATTAATTATGTAGGATTACAGAAGAAGCATTTTCTCTGGCACAGTTAATTCCTTGTAGTTGTCTGCACTGAAGCCCCACTCAAACAGCCACCTTTTGATGCAAGTTAGTCTATTCATGCCCATCTACTTTACTCCTGTGGACAGGAGGGGAGCTGAGGAGTGATGCAGGAGTGATCCAAGTTTTACCTGTGGTTTGAGCCAGTAGTAAGCAGGTATTAAAAAAATGAGCTCAGGTCTCCAGTGAGTCCCCTGCAGGCATTCATTGCAGTCAGCCTTTGGTTTTAAGATCCCTTCTCCACATGTGCCAGCTGTTGGGACCCTGCTATATCCTGAGCTGGAGCCCTGTTTTATGCTGTGTGGGGCTGGGGATGTTCTGTATCTCGTGGTCCTGTCTGCACTTGTAGTAAATCTATTCCTTTTTGGCATATGGGGTTATCTTTACGTGGGAAGTGGCTTTGCCTTGAACAATGCCACAGTGGAGGTGTTTTAGATCCGGAGAAGTTGCCTGGTTGTCTGCAGGGCTGAGCGTAGTCCCAGAGCTGACGCATCACTCAGCCAGCACACGGCGTGCTGAGGGCTATGAAAGTTTCTGTGTCTCTTCCTTCCCCACATGTGAAATGAGGACAGTAAAGATGTGCACCTCTGGAAGTGCCAGAGATTCCCAGATAAATGCCTCCTCTCCTCTCCTGCCTGTCTACCCACGCACCGAACACTGAATGCTGCTTGCATTTATTCCCTCTCCCACAGTTGTTGATTTACTTTGGAAGCAAGCTGGTGGCTCAGCCTGGGATTTCAAAGGAGAGGCTTTTATGTAGCTGCAGGGAAGAAGTCAGGGAGCCAGCTCTGAAATCTTTCAGATTTGCCTGTGCTTTGCCTGTGAGAGTTCATTACCGAAAATATCCTCTTATCTCACTGATGTCCTTCCCATCAGCCGTTCTAATGGGCTGCTGCAGCCCATTCCTCCCAAGCAGCTGGATGCTGAAGGTCCCTGGCAACCCAGGGCCCCTTCACTCCCAGCTCTGTCCCTTCCCCTTGTCTCGCTGTCCCCCTGCAGTCCCTCTCTGCCCAACCAGCCCCAGCAGGGCTGTATCCGAGCTGTGGACTGTCAGCAGCTCACACCACGTGGAATGATGCTTGCACCCCTCTGCCCTTTGCTGCTGCCTGAGGGAAAAGGATGGATCCATTCTGCATGGAAACCCTGTGCTGGAGGAGGGACGTTCTCACGCAGCACTGGCTCAGCCATGCTGTCTACCTTGGGTAGGGGATGCTTGGTGCTGTCATGGGCTGCACCTGCACGTCTGTCCCCACAGCACACGGGATGTGACAGAGCAGCCCTGCTCCATGGCAGCCCTGTGACATTGAGAATTGCTGCGAATGACTGCAGCAGTAGTCTGTAAGTGGTGAAAATCCAATGTACTGATAATGCTGTGACCTTCGGATAAGGTGGGTACGTGGGGTTCTGTTCTCTGCAGCCTGGAGGTCTGGTTCTCCTGCAAGGTCTCAGCGTCCTGACTGGGGTAAATGGTATCATGTCGAGACATAACTGCTCAGATTAGTGAATTCCTTCAGTAATGCAGTTTTCATCGAGGAAAATTAGAGGAGACATTAACACAACAGTTAACAGCAACTGAGTGCTGGGGGGAGATGTGTCGGCTTGCTTGTTCTGTTTATGGGCTTCATACAATTCCATCAATATTGATGTGTGATGCCTTTGATTTTGACACTAATCATTGCTATGAATTAAATTTGCAGCCATATAATTAGGAGTGCTATTAATAGGGCCTCAAGCTAAGCACTGCTGTGCTAGTTGTCTTCTTCCTGATGGAAAACGGCGTCCACGGAGCTCAGCTAATGTGGTCTGCCTGGTGGAGGATGGGACTGATGTGGAAATTGCACTTGTTGCATTTAGGGCTGCAGAGACATGGGAAGGGCAGACTTAGGGGTTTCCTGAGAACCGTGCTGGAGTTGCTCCAGAACTTTTGAGTTTGCTGTTTTTCTTTTAGAGCGGGAAGGAGCAGGGCTTGCAGGAATAGTCACCCTCCATTCTCCAAGGCTGAAGGGCTATTGCAAGCCTGGTTTCTATTCTAGCTGCCCTTGTGCAAATCTGTCCCTTTATTTTTCTCCCCCAGTGCTGTTTGGCTCTGTGGCAGCAGGCACAGCACAGTGGCCGGGCTGCCAGCGCCGCTCTCCGCTCAAATCAATCTTGTCTTTCATCCCGAGAGGTGTGCTTCTTATTAGATCTAATAAATCAGTGAAGTGCCCTTCATTCAGCTTGTCAATGGAGGGCATTGTTTGTGATCAAGAATAAATAAATGTCTGTCTCTTCTATGTCTGACCGTGCACAGTCCAAGTGCTGTTTTGCCATCGCGCCGTCTGTGCCTGCGCCAGGCAGAGCCCTGCAGCATTGCTGAGCCTCTCGGGCTGACTGTGCACATGGGGAAAGGCAGCACGGTGATGCTGGTGGTTTTATCCCAGCACTGACCTGCTTCAAAGAACAGCTGGAAGGTTTGGGATGCACTGAGCTGGAGCTGCCTGAGAGCTGCTCTCTGCATGCAGAGGTCGCAAAAGCAAAGCTCTGCACTTTGCAGCCTTGCAGTTTTGCATAAGAACTCAGGAATGGAGCGCTTGGTGAGTTTGGAGGTGAAGGGGACAGTGACAAACAACTGTCAATTGCTGTTCTGCAGTCCCAGAGCACCCCATCCCCATTGCATTGCTCTCATGCACGGCTTGCAGCGTGCAAGGTGACCTGCGAGGAGCTGAGTGGGATCTGTCTGGAGGAAAGGTGCTGCAGGAAGATGTCGAGCTGTGATGCTGTGACTCGTCGTTTCCTTGCTGCATGCACAAATGTGCACATTGCTGGCTGCCCAGTGCTCAGCAAGGCAGAGCCTTGCAGGGCACTGTTGGAGCAAGGGGGAGCAAACTTCTGAGTGCATTGTGGTGTTTTGGCGTGTGAGGGTTTTATTCAGCTTGGCTGATTTAATTTCTTCCATTTGTGGCTATAAAACAGATCTTTCCCAACGAAGCACATGTCTGAACCTGTCCTTATCTGACTTCATTCTACAGATGCTTATCTCATCCTTCAATATACCCTTAATTATCGCTCCTACGTGTATTTTGGAGCACTTCAGGACAAACAGTTGCAGCAGTGTGCAGAGGAGCCCAGAGGCCGTGGGGCTGTTCCAGCCCACAGACCCCACAGCAGCAGTGGCAGCAGATGCTCAGTATCACCCCGTGTCCCTGCAGGGGATGGAGCAGCTCTGGAACATCCTTGCTGCCTCTTGGAGGCACGAAATTGGCTCCTCTTCTCCCAGCATCTCTCCTCCAGTTCTGTTATCTGTTGCCTAGCAGAGGGAAATGAAAGAAAGGAGAATTTTGGATGTGTTTTAGAGCTGCTGGAGAGCTGAGGGGCAGGTGTTCAGGAGCTGCTATGTGAAATGGAGCCAGGTGGGCTCAGAGGCAGCTTTAATCCGTTCCTTGGCTCACGAGGTGGAGATGAGAATGCTTCTTTCCAGGCTTGGGCACCTTGAAAAATCAGCTTGAAATGCAGAGTGCAACAATGGCATTTGATTCGTCTCCAAATGGAGTGGGGCCACAGGAGCAGAGAGCTTGGGGGGGTT